TCATCCGTCAGGTAGTACCCGTTTGCTGACATGTACCATGTGCAGTTGGCAAGGGCCGGGTTGATGCGGAGGATCACGTCGGCCTTCTCCGGGTAGTACTGCTCGCTATCCTTGCAGTCGGGGAGACAGTGCACTTGTGCTCGGTGTGCCTTGCCGGCCACACCACCTGCTCGGAGGCCGTCTTTGGCAATGTTTTTGTAAAAATCGTAGTGCGTCGCATGGGTGAGATAGGGGACCTTGTCCTGGTCAACCCTGCAGTGTACCGAGGCATTGTCGACGGCCATCGAATGCCCCTGAACAGCACCTATCAACAGCTCTCCGTCTGGGCCGCCCTCCCAGAGCAGGCGAAATCTTTGCTTCGCGTTGTGATACACCACCGCTATGATTTCTGCTTGGCTGATCCGCTCCTCCGTCATGATGCGGTGGGCCAGCAACTGGCGCAACGGCGCCGCCATGTTCTTCCTGAAGTCCAGGTTGAAATCGCCTTTGTCATGGCGAAGGGAAGCAGAGAGGCGTTTGGAAATCTTGAAGTCGCGATAGTATTTCAGGGGCCGGGGAGGCGGCTGCCCGAAGTCGAACGGCACATAGACCTGGCTCAAGACCGAGCTGGCCACACTATCCAGGGTGCTGGCTGGTGTGCTACCCGCCGGTTCGCGAAGTTCACTGGTGTTGGTTGTCTTTGGGGGTGGGGGAGTTTTCGGGGACGGCTTCTTCGTCAGCCCCATTGTCTTCCCACTCGTCGTCTTCTTCCCACTCCTCTTCCTGTTCCTCCTCTTCCCAATTTTCCCATTCATCCTCGGTGAACTCGACTTCAACTTCCACCTTCTCATCTTCCTCTGGATCGTCCCTGCGGCTCCCCTTTGGGGCCGGTTTGGGGTCCTTGTTGCTATCCTTGGCTGGGCTCCGGATGCTGTGGTCTGGGCGCTCTCTGGGGTAGAAGTGCTCCATGAAGCTTCCTACCTCCGGCTCTGTGGTCTTCCAATCCATATCCTCGTACCATGCCGTCGGAACTCCATCCATGAGGGACATTAGATCTGTCAACCCCGCCGCGACCTCTGCGTACATCTTCTCGAAGGTGCGGTCTCGAGCACTGGCGATCGCGTGGATCCAGCACTCCACGGCTCGGCCATACGTCGCGGATTGGCCTGTGCCTTCGCTGTTTTCTGGCAACTCCCCCAGAAGGAGGTGTGCAAAACAGGATAAGTTCCAGTTCCCGAATTTGGGGAGCGACTGCGTGACCTCGTCTGAGTGGAAGTCTTTGTGTCTACGCGCAAAGTTCCCCTTGTTGATGAAGTCCCTGAAGTGTTCGCTCGCACCGCTCTTCCTCAAAGAGCGTAGGGCCCCCCGGAGGGAGCGCCACATGTCCCACTGGTCGGCCACATCCTGTGCGGTTTGTGGGGGGGCCGGCTTGGTGAGGGCCTGCTTCTGGGGCCGGTCATCGGCGCCCTTCGCGTCTCCTCGATGCCTCTTGGGGCTTGTTGGCGGTGTGGGCGGCTTCTTGTATCGTCGGGCCGGTGGTCGGCTCCTGCTGTCATCCCTTTCATCCTTCCGGCGGGAGGGGGCCGTGTTCCGATCGGCTCTACCTCTTCCTCTGGAGTCATCTCTGTGACGGTGGCGTGGGCGCCTGTGCTCGCGGCTGTCCTCGCGGCTGTCTCGACTATCCTCTCGTTTGCGGCTGCTCCGGGAAGCGTAGTCATGCCATCCGCCCGATCACTGCTTGTTTGTCCAGCTGCTGCCATAGTCTTGCCAGCCGGCGCCGGAGTCTTCCCACTGATCTTCTCGTTCAGTTCGATCATCACGTGGGTTGGTCCAAGACCACTTCTTGTGCTCCCGAGCGGGTTGGGGCTTCTCTCTGGGGGGCCGCTGGCTCGGCTCCTCCCAATCATCCCTCTGCTGCCGGGGCCGTTCCTGCGGCTTCCCTTTGCCTTCTCTTTCCTTTCCCTTTCCTTTTCCCTTTTCTTTTCCTTTGGAGCCTTTCTCTCCTTTTCCTTTTCCTTTGTCGGCCATGGCACGCTGCCTCTGTGCTACTTCATTGGCAGTTCGTCTTCGCGTGCCGTCTTGCCGCCATCTGCTGCGGGGGTATTGCCTCGGCTGGTCGCGCCTCGGCCTCTCCTCCTGGTCGTCATCACCTGTTGGTGCCGCTATGAAGCGCACTGGACGTGCGGCCGCCATGCTTGAGTCGGCAACGCTTCGGACACTGCACTGCTGAGGTCGGCAGAGACTGCAGGGCTTAACGATCTGCTCTGCAAAACACCATCTAGACAGATGCAGCCAGACACCCTCTAACGCAACAACAACCCTGGCGATCGGTGCTGTCCTGCAAGTAGTGCGGCGAGCCAGATTTGCAGTCGTTCGACCTGAGCAGGGTGACATTCGCGAATAGTGGGTTGGGTATGCAGGTGCTTGGTTTCCGGCTGTGTGTCGCTTGCAGTTCCCGGAAACCCCGGCGACCATACTAGCGGACACGTGTTGCGGGGGAGAACATGAAGCAATGTCTCTCGAGGAATCTAGGCAATGGCTTACCTGAGGCAGTGGGCCGGGGCTTCGGCACCATCCTGAAAACCGTGCTGTGTCAGCAGGGGCCTTGTGAGGTCTCCCTCGGGGGTGGCCAGCGCCAACTTCCCCTGCGCTTGCACCTAAGAAGCTAGTCCATGGCGTCCAGGTCCAGCACCGAACGGTTGTGAACCTGAGTTGCTGATGGTCATGCTCTTTCGTGGGCCTGCTGTGCCACCTCAAGTGCACGGCTAGCAAGGAAGTCCCGCTGGCTCCTGAGGGTGTCCTGACGAATGGGTGTGGCACCGAAGGCTCGGGCCAGCTTGATCGGCTGATCTGTTCCTCGGGACGGCTTAATACCTGCATTGCAACAAGCAGTGAAAGGCATCTTATTGTGAGGCGAGCACTTGATGATAGCACGTGCGTCCTTCGGCGGCTCCCCTTTGGGGCCGATGTAATCAGTCTCCTTCTTGGATCACCTGCACCTGCCCCGGCACTCTGCTCAAGCCGATTGCTGGCCCCCGACGCCATTGGGAAACCGACCTGTGACAGGAAGTGATTGTCCTCCTTGGCAAGCTTCGTAACACCTGCCGGCGTGAACGCCACTATGATCCCGCGCATCCCCCGCCACGGTTGCGTAGCGTGCCAAGTCTTAGGTTCAAAGATGAGAGGGCGGTGCATGGACACGGGATGGAATCTACCCGCACGCTGTTTGCCCTCGATCTTAAACAAGTGGGGTCCACGGGCTTCCTCAATCCACAGGCCTCCATCTACGCACTCATGCGTCGCAAGCACTAAGTTCTTTGTCCCCGGCTCGTTGTGAACGTCCCGATGTGGGCCAGCTTTCACGTTCAACAAGAAGCCAACCGCCGAAAACTCGAAGTCTGGTGCCCGGCATCGCACGTAGCTGCACATCAGGGCAGCACACCACGGAAACTCCTTTGTCAAGTTTCTGCAGCCTACCATTGGGCCATGTGCATAAGCCCCGCACAAAAACGACTTAGAATTTGCATGGGTCTCACCTCGGGCTCGGACTTGCTGATTGCGCGGAAGCAACTCAAGGAAGGATTGCATGTCATGGTCAGCACACGGCATTGCTTTCTGGCACATGCTGAACGCTCGTTGCTCGGCCGGATGTGCATCCTCCCCGGGCGGGGGCAGAGTCAGAGTAGGTACCCGCAAATCAGAATTGCCATGCACACCCGCATCCTTTGCACTC